AAATGATCAGACTTCTAAATGATTTTCTTAACTCCTGTTCGAGAGCCAGAAAAGTGCAGCAAGAGTCCTTGCCAACTTTTTTACTTTTCCGGCTGTTTTAACATAATATGGGTTACTTATCCTGATGTTTTGACATAATATTGTAATTCTGTCACACTTGACCCTCTGGGTTTTTGAAATCTCAATGTTTTCAGACGTCTGAACCAAAAAACGTCAAAAATCTGATACCCGTGTTCTGATACGTACAGTAGGCCTACATGAAAGGAAGGGTAGATCTAAATCATCCATAGAAAATTTTATACAATTTTACAATTTATAAAATACTGTATTAATAAATATTTTATCGAGTAGTTTATCAAATAAGTGAATATATTATACACATGACTGAACCAATACTCAGCAGAAAGAATATTCTTGAATAAATAAACACTTCTGCTGAGAAGTATTTATTTGCTATACACAAACATTTTCAGCCTAACTTATAGTCCATGATTTTTGGAATATCAGTTATAAATTGTTTCAAAACAGTCTAACTCCCAAATTTCTTTTGGTAACTCCAATATAATTCTACTTCATTCATAATTGCATGTTTTCATAACGTATCCTTACGCACATTTTTCTTTTCTTTCTTTGCCGTATCTTTGTCATTCTCAATATATTGTAACTATTTGGCACTCTTTCGAGAACTAATTTAGAGCCTTTACGTTCTGCCATTTCTTTGATAATGTTCTTGTTAAAGGAACAGTTTATAACTTTCCTGTTTATAAAGTTTATAAAGTTTGATGATGGCCTATACATAAGGCTGAAAACGTTTGTGTATTGGGTAGTTGCACCAGTGAATGACCACATTGTCAGAAATTTGTTTAAAATATGCGCCACGGCAAGAAAAACTAATCAGAAGCACTGAATTATTGAAAATCAGCTACATTTTGAAATATTCTTTTTCATTGGTCATTCAGAAATGCGTGATAGTGTTTGAAATATAGCAGTTTTTTGTGATGTGTGTAAGGTGTAATCCTGCTTGCATTGTAATAAGGTAAGATCCGTGGGAAAGGTACATATAGCAGCATTTTAAAACAATTATTTATTGATTTTCTTAAGCATTGAGTAAAGAAATAGTTTTATGGATATTTAAAATATGGTTTTAGTACAAAAATTAATTTTAAACTTGTAAAGGAGTGTCGATAGGGGGAAAGAAGAATCAAAAAATGATTCTTCTTCAGTGAAGGAACATTTCGGTCATTTAAAACGGTGATAAAGTTGTATGCGTTATTTGCATTTATGGGCACAAAATTCAATTTCTGTAGATGTTGTTTCGTACTATTGTATGAGTGAATGATCAAAAAACTAACTTGTACCAGTAAGTGACCATGGTTCAAAGTTATGTAGTCATTCATTGCTGCATATTAAAATGGTTTGAAATAAACAATTCGAATTGTCATTTGAATTTATTTTTTTAGATAAATTCAAAATGGTAGATGAAGTAAATAAAAAGAAGAAAGCCTATAGACATTTTCAATATAGTGGAAAAGATTTGTATGCAGCTGTAGAAGCAGTACGTGAAAATAAAATAAGTGCTAATAAGGCTAGCAAAGAACTTCATATTCGAAAAGAAACTTTAATAAATAAATTTCATAAGAAAGTACCAATTGAGCGAGAAATGGGCCCCTCAGCTACATTAATTAAAAAATGGCTAGAACTTTTTCTATAAAGGCACCCTAATGTAGCATCAAAGAATACAGAAGTGATATCTAAAGTTTTAGCAGCACTTTCAGAACAGATAATAAGGGATTGGTTTCAAGAATTATATAATTACTTGAAAAAAAACAGGCATGTGATATACTGCAAAATCCTTCCCGTATCGTCAAGGCAGATGAAATATGGTTGTTCTTTTGTTTAAAAACTGGCAAACTGGGACCTAAAGCATATAAGAACTTTTATGACATTGCACGAGAACAAGAAAAACAGTGTATCCAGTTTTGTGTAATTTTTCTGCAAGTGGTCAATCAGTGGATCCTCTGATAGTGTTTCCATATAAGAGAATTCCAAGGTATATTTCAGATTCAGTTCCAGATGGCTTTGCTGTAGGCAGAAGGATTCAGGATGGATGATAAGTGCCACATTTTATGAATATGTTGCAATTGCCTTTTACCTCTGGCTTTTGGATAAGAATATCAGAAAATACAAACAACAATCATCAAAATCAGTTTACAAAACTAACTTTGCAGTTTTATTCTTTGAAGCTTACGAGAAAGCTTTAAAATTGGAAACAATTCAACATGGATTTAAAACATGTGGTTTGTTTCCTTTTGATCCAAATAGGGTGGATTATTCAAAACGTGTTTTTACTAGGCGTAAGAAATTGTTTTCCGAAAATAAACATGTTTTATCAATTAATTATGGAGAACCATATAAACGTGCACTGCAAATGATAGAAAATGAGATTCCACTTAATTTATCAGATTTCAAGGAAGCCATTGCATCTGATAACAATCAGATAAATTTAGAAAATTACTATTGCAATATTGCCTATCTATGAAACACATTTTTATACAAATTATCAAACTGATAATTTCTATAGCATTGTATATGTGATATTTTTGAATTAAAGACGTTTTCTAAAAATTAATATTTTTCTTCCAATTTCTTAATCTGAAAATATATGATCGAATTACATAAAATTGCTAAAACTCTAATTATTTATTAATAGTCACTTGCGGTCATTCACTAACTCTCAACTGGTCAACTACTAGAGCCGTATGTTCACTCACTAGTGATTTTTAAATTTTAAAAACTTCATGACATTAATTTAATCAATATTACAGAAAATTAAAAATTCACATTTTGAATGAATAGTGTGAGTTCTTGGTAACCAGCAATGAACATCACTTATGTTAAATGTTTGTTTGTTAAGTGATTTTTTTAAAATTTTTTTATCAGGGTGCTTAATTGGTCATTTACTGGTGCAACTACCCTAGCAAATAAATGCTTCTCAGAAGCCTAAGGTATTTATTGATAAATTATTAAACGCATGTTTATTAGTTTAGAAATAGAGAAATAAACATTCTGGTTTGAGTTTAGAACCATTCTAAGAAAGTAGTTTTCTTTGTAAAGGGAATGTCAATAGATGTTTAAAGTATCCAGATAAGAAGCTATTTTAAATATCAAAAAAGAAAAAATAAATAAAGTTATGTTTATTCTCTGAAATCATCTCTTTTTAGAAAAAATGATAATACGAATGAGCGATAAAATAGCTTCGCATATATTTAAAATGAGAAGATTAAATGCAAACTAAGATTAAAGTTAGAAAATTTATTTTATTAAGAAATAACTCAATCTGTACTTCATAAGCATATGTTGGGGATGCTTATGTTGCTGCAGCATCCCTTTCATAACAAAGCAATCAATTTTGTTTATTTAAAATAAAAATGAATATAATAACGCATATTCATGATTTCAATTGAATAAGATTAGGTAATTAACGATAGGATGCAAGCTGCATCCATCTATTGTAGTACACTGAAACATTATTTGAAGAATTTAATTTGATATCGTTAACTCAGATTCATACACTAAATTCGAATTTTCTTATATTTTTCAGCCAACAAAACATTTCCAATTATTGTGAGATGCAGCTTTCTGCTCATTTTAGTTTTGATAACATCAAAATAATTTACTGAAATTTAATTTTTATCATCTGTTTTCTGTTTAATCTATCGTTTTAATAACTTGCAGATTAATTCTTCGTCTTTAACTTCATATTCAGCTTTTATAAAACTGTCACTACATGTGTTGAAGCAGATCATGTAATTCTCCATTCATTCATTTTCCTGTAGACTTTTTCATATTAGCTGCTTTTTCAGTTGCAACATTCGTGGGCAGGATCTTGGTTTATATACCTAGTGTAGAGAATCTCACGCTTCTTTGTCTATGTTACAGTCTATTGTTATATCTATTTCTTGTTCAAGTTCTATTCCTAACGCAATACTGTAGTTGCTATGACATTTTCTTCTTTACTCTTGTATCCTCCTATTTCTTCAGATGTGTTCTCGTCACTTAATTTTATTTCTCCAATTACACGTCCTCTTTGTATTAATATCATCTTTATATTAAACATCTAACTTCTGTAATTATTCTCATTTAACTTGTCGATCCTATCTGCTTGTTGCATATAGACTGATATTTTTTCAACTTGCTTATTTTCGAATATTTCTCCTTTATGTCACTGCTAGCTTCTCAGTTTAATATATTAATATATTTTATAATAATTTTATATTAACAGAAAAATTTCTATTAATATAAAATACAAGCAGTGATATTTCTTAGAAATAACATGTTAAATTTACCACGATAGAAAAGTATTATCCACTCATCAAAGTTATTTTATTGATTTTTCTGATCGAAGATGCTAGCTATTGTTAGGCACTCTGAACAAAACTGTCACAGAATAATTAAATTTTACCTCTTAAAAAAATATAAAATAAAGTTTAGTTAAACGATATTTACATTATAATATTTATTTCTCTTATATTTTAATGCAATATAATAAATATAAAGATAAATAATATATTTAATACTAATTTGCATTTTTTAAATCAGCATATAATATTTTAAGTATTTTCTATTCGTATTAAAATCGACACAAATATTGAAAGTTAAATATTATTGTCAACATGAAAGCATTAATGTATTCTTATATCATTTTACTTATTGTATTTAAATAAAATTGTTTACATGTAAAATATTCTTAAAAGAGCATTACTATAAAATAATTTTTAAATTATATAAAACTTCATGTATTTATATAGCTGAAAGGAAAAAAGTTCGATTGGTGGGTGGAATAGTTCGATATAAAACCGCCAGGGAGAGCCGCAATCGAGTACTTTGTGAAGTTACCTCTTCACACACTCCACTATAAGTCAAACGTTTGTCCTGGCAGCAGCGATATTGCTCCGTTTTGCTAGAGATGATTGCTTTTCTTTGATATAACATTAGTGCCAATGACAACTCCTGTAACAGATTTCAACTTTACTTCCAATGGGAATTTCGAAGAAACTCCTTATCCAGATTTCACGCAAATTTCTGCCGTTTGTATTACTTTCATAGTTGCATACTTCATAGTTATGTTACTGGCTCTGGTAGGTAACGCAATGGTATTCTACGTGGTGGTCAGTAACAGGAAGATGCACACCGTTGTCAATTATTATATTGTTAATTTGTCAATTTGTGACTTTATGGTCGGAGGGTTTGTATTGCCTGTTAAATTATTAGAACTGACGGCTCCTGCCAATTGGGGTGCCATGAATGATAATTTATGCACCGCTATGTCCTATTTACAGACAATTTTTGTATTTGCTAGCGTTTTGACATTAGTCGCTACCTGTTTAGAAAGGTAAGTTACGCATTTACATTTTTTAACATCGTATTCTCTATTACTGTTACTAGTTTGTACGAAAATTTAAATGAAAAATTTATATCGTTATTTATACAAATATATATGCTTTTATATATATTTGTATATGTCTTATAGGTATGTATAAAGAAAGTGTTCAGTCTGAACAAATCAATTCAATTATCGATTATAGAAAACATTTTTTATAATATATTAATATAAATTATGATATAAATTAAATTAAATATATTATATTATTTTAAAAATATTTTCTATAGTCTATAATTGTATTGATTTGTTTACTTCGAAGATTCTTTTTTCAGTTGCATTCGAGCACAATTGTTTCGTCTTCTTCGTCTTCAACTACATGGTTGCTTTAGAATTAAACATTTACTAATTTTTTAATGAATTATTAGATATTATATATTATTTAATAGGTTTTAGATAATAAAATTTTGCTAATCAATTTAATCAAGAAAGGAAATACGGATAATAACATATAGTATATATTATAAATTATGAATTGCATTGTTTCTCTCGATCACTTTTTTCTCATTCTATTATTGTTAATTATATTCTATAGAATATTTCCTCTATTAAGATCATTTTAAAACCTTAATTAAAGTAATAAGCACACTTTCATCATTCTAACTATCAACTATAATTAAAATACTGTAACCTACCTGACCTTTTTTTTGTATTCACAATTCCCATTTTAACGGATTGAAAAGAAAATTATTGCAAGTCACAGTCTACAGCTGAGAAAATTAAATTTTCAGTTTATAATTCTTCTAATTTTCATAATGATATTAAGGCATTGAATCGGCGTAAAAAATCAATTCTGCGAAGCGTTATAAGTAATTTTTTAAATTTCTTTTATATTCAACTATTTCTAACTGTTAAAAAATAGATTTTTATTGGTTTAAATATTTTAAAATATTTTAAAAATAGCAATCGAATATGTGCATCACACGTTACGTGTCTTTCTCCATTTAAATTTATATACTAATGTTCTTATTTTGTATTGTTTTCACTCCATATTTATGCATAAAATTAATTATAATTTGTTACTGCGTTCACGAAGTGAGTGATTTATATATTAAATTTTCCTGTATTTACAGTAATGAGATAACCTTTAACATCTTCAATAGAATTCTCGGATGCTGTAAAGGTTCAATGTAAATTTATTTTAGAAATGTGACTTTATAAAGAAAGAGTTTTGACAGAAAACATCTATGTAATATGACTATCTAAATAATCCAATTTTTATAAAATTCAGCTTGATTTGGGAACTAATAGGGAAATCTCGAATTTTCAATTTATCTCTATTATAATCTTTTCTCCTAATTTCTCCCATTTAACTTAATTGAAAATTACTTTCTAATTGAGATATTGTCCAATGAACTAAACATTTTGTTTACTAATCAGTATTTATAATTTGTTTTCTCATTGACAATTCAATTGAGTTAACTGGAGTAGGATTCTTAAAAGATTCAGTAAAGCCAACTACATAAGTGAAGTTATCTAAATTCTTCGACGAAAATTTTAAAAACTGCTAATTGTTTTTGAAGAAAATAGTAAAAATTTAGTATTTATTTAATTAAATTTTAATAATGAATGAGATAGAAACTGAAAGCAGAATAAAATTTTTTAAACTGTTAAACTTGTGTATATTAAATAAATAGTTTTTGAAATATATTAAAGGGATAATTGAGATTTAGTAGAATTGAATAATGTTAAATTTTCTATGCATTAAATAGGCTTGGGTATATTATTTCAACTGTACAGTACAGTACATATCCATAACAAGTTAATGAAAAGCATCACGTTATTCCCATATCATACAGAAGAATATAATATCCGAAAATAAATTAATCATTTAAATTTGTTGTTGAATATTTGTAAAGAATAATTAATATTGCGTGAGTTACATTATAATTTAAACAAGTTGAGGAAATTAATTAATTTAATAAAATTGGAAATTTTATCTATGAAGAATATAAGCTGAACTTTTTGTTTTCTTGCGCTTCTCGTGAGATGGGATGTAAGAAGCTTTTATAAAATAAAATAATTCTTATAAATCTGCTGTCATTAAATGTATTTTAAATATTTTAAAAATTCCTAATTATTTCTTATAACTTCAAATAGAATTTTTAATCAAATTTTGTATACTTCGTCAGTTGAAATAATGTTGTTATAAATAAATTACATTGTCAAGACATTTTCGATTCTAAAACTCCTAACAGATTTGCTAACAGCTTTAATAATTTAACAAATAATTTATAAAAAGTGTTGAAAACTAATTTAACAATTAGAAATAAAAGCGTTTTCAGAATATGTTTTTGAAAATTAAATTAGTAATCAATTATAAGTACAATTTTTATACAAAAATTAAAATGTTAATTAAATAAAAATTGGAAAATAGGAAAAAGATCTAATTATTAGAATGATAAATGCAAATTATAAAATGTTTACCTTCTGTTTAATACTGAAGAAGCCTTTGAAATTTTTAAAATTTTTCAAGTAGATTTAAGTTTATAACTTGTTATATAAAGTAAAAAAAAAAAATTATGTTATTAATGTAATGCTTATTAATTTCGCGTTTTTATCACCAAAAAGGAGTTTCCTAAAACTACATTTCGTGTTTAATTGTATTATTGCAATCACTATGCTTTGGGCTATTAACATCTTGACGTGAAATTACTTCAATACAGTAGAGAGTCGATTATCCGAAAGTCAATTATCCGAAAGAATTCCAGTCGGCAAATTTAAATTTTCGCCAGTGCTGTGGCGCTGCAATCTTTGGCTATGTCTTGGGCTACTCAAATATTTTACGTTTTTGATACTAAATTAACTTCTGAAGTATAATTTTTTATTGTTTTTATATTTTTCAATATATTTATTTTGTTTATACAAAATGAAAAAAATAATTTTTAACGATGCAATAGTCTTCGTTAGGCTTAACATCGACGAAAATTCAACGCAAATCGATACGTAACGGAGAAAAATTTCAACATCGGATAGGTTAATATATTTTTTCGTACATAATCGGTTATCTGAAACATCGATTTTTTTTTCTCGAACAACCCCAGTCCCCAACTGATTCGGATAAACGACGCTCTAGTGTACTTAGAGAAATAACTTAATTCTGCTATTGAACATGGCTTTTCTCAATGTATAATGTTCAATTTAATTAAAATATCTTTATCGATAAAGTTTTATATTTACACATCACTTAACTGATACTTTTTAAAAATTTTTTTATACTTATATTCGCAGAATTATTGAAGAACCTAACAGTAATATAGAACAATACTTTACAGTAGTAGTGGGCAACCTATGGGTCAACTCTAGTCTGCTGTGGTTTTCAAAATATATATATTGTGAATGGCCCGCAGAATAATACATAATATTATAATTAAGTTTATTGTAACTTTTTATTATACAGCAATTCTTTGTGTTGGTCGATATGTCATTTTTGTGTACGTCCTTCTTTTTGACAGTTTTTACTGTCTTTTTCAATCAACTCGTTGATTGAAAGAAGACGAGAAAATCTTGCTTTGTTCTACAGATTAAGGAACAACAGACAGACAGAGGGAATTAGAAGGTCTACAATTTTTTCAAATTGCAGCCCAATAAAAATCCTTTCATTCTCCTAAAGATAATTACATGTGTTTTAAAATCGAATCAATTATGTAATCATAGAAATAAAAATCACTAAATTTTTAATCTAAAAATCATTTCGATTTTAATAACATAAATACTTCAAATCTAAAATTATATAATGCATCACTAATACATCGTTTGAAAACGTTTAAATCGTTGAATAATTTAGATTTACAGTAATTAGTTGTTTAGATGTGAGTTACGTTTAAATTCGTGCCTGTTGTTAAATGAGATTTAAATACATGTTGTTGAATATACAGATAAGTGCATATCACTAAAGTTTCTAATTTATATACAGAGTATCCCATTTTAATTAGTCACCCAAAATATCTGGAAACGTTCGGGAAACGTACGAAAAAAATGTTGTAGACCGAAAATGTTTCGTATCAGGGGAGACACGACATGGCACTACCGGTTTCTTCATAGGTGTCATTACTGTGGTTGAAACTTAATGTTCAAATGGGAAACTTCCATTCTTTATCACAAATTTTAATTCTAAGAAAAAAGTAAAATACAAGGTGTGACAATAACGTTCGGTGAATGGAAATGCTACTGTTAATGTGAGAGATTTAGAAAAGTGAAACTACATGCAGAGTATAGCCCGGATATTGCGCTAGCAAATCGGGACTTGTTTTTGACTTGTTAAAACCTGTAGCTTAGGCACTTGCATTATTTTACATGAGATGTGTATACAACGGTTGTCATTAGCGTGAAATAGAGCAACGAATCACCATGTTCTGCTTTAATTTCGTTAAAACTGAATCAGGAACTCATGACACGTTGAAAACTGTTTACGAAGATGAAGCAGTGACAAGAGAGTGTTTTTAGGATTGGTTCAAACGTTTCCGTGAAGGAAACATATACCATGAGGCTCCTTTCTGTAGTGGACGACTCTCACAACTCCAATTCATACGATAATGTGGAAAGAGTTCGTAATCTGATATTGCGAGATCCACGACTGAGTACTCGCTTGATGCCAGAAGAACTAGGCATAAACCGTAAAAGAATTCGTCAGATTATGCGCTCACGGAAGAACCAAAGCAGGAAAGACTGGACGCATGCAAGGATTTTGTTGACACGTGCGACAACAATCCTGAAATCTTGGGAATGATAATAAGGGATGAGGCCTGGTGTTTTCAATACCACTCAGCAACGAAAAGACAAAGCATGGAATGGAGATGCGTCAGATTTCCAATGTCTCAAAAATGCCGGTTCGCAAAATCGAAGACGGAAACTTTGCTCATCCCCCTTTACTTTCCCGCCTGTTATATATAACAGAGAGAAAGTATGGTAATCGGTCAAAAATGAACCCTCCCCAAGATTTTTATATTTTT